TACCACTACTGCCACTACTACTACCACTACTACCACTACTACCACTACTACCACTACTACTACTACTACTACTACTACTACTACTACCACTACTACCACTACTACCACTACTGCTATTGCTACTGCTATTGCTACTGCTACTGCTACTGCTACTACTACTACTACTACTACTACTACTACTTCTACTAGTAGTACTGCTACTGCTACTGCTACTGCTACTACTCCTGCTGTTTATGTACTTCTACTATTAATACTTCTACTGCTGCTACTGCTACTACTACTACTACTACTACTACTACTACGACTGCGACTACGACTACGACTACGACTACGACTACGACTACTACTACTACTACTAGTACTACCGCTGCTACTACTACTACCACTACTACTACCACTACTACTACTACTACTACTACTACTACTACTACTAGTACTAGTTCTACTACTACTACTACTACTACTACTACTGCTACTACTACTACTACTACTACTACTACTACCACTACTACTACTACTACCACTGCCACTAGTACTACTACTAGTACTACTACTACTACTACTACTACTACTGCTACTAAGACTACGACGACTACTACTACCGTGGTTACTACTACTATTACTACTATTGTGACTACTACTGCTACTACTACTGCTACTACTAATACTCCTGCTACTACTACTACTACTACTACTATGAGTACCACTACAACTACGACTACTACGACTACTACTACTACTACTACTGGTGCTGCTAGTACTACTACTGCTACGACGACGACTACTACTACTAGCACTAGTACTGCTACTTCTACTTCTTCTGCTACTACTACTACNNCTGCTGCTGCTGCTGCTACTACTGTCATTATTACGGTTACAATCACTATTACTAGTACTATTACTATATACTATTACCACTTATATTTTTATTTTGATTTTTACGACTACTACTACTACTTCTCTACATATTGATTATTTTTTGATGTCACACTAATATTCAAAGTCAATATCATACTAATTTCAAATGAATCGATAAACAGGTAGATGCATCCATAACTAAGTAAGTAAAAAATGAATCAGTATACATATAGTTAAATAAGTATAGATAATTTCAATATGTATATATATATATATATAAATATATGTATATATATATATATATTGTACATATACACACATTCACGATTGTGTTAGAAAGCGTGCAGCCCGTTCTCGGCTGGAATGCTGCGATTATTGTCCTTGAGGCGGCCCGTGCCGCTGTTGTACAATTTGGCTGCTGTTGTGTTGTGTTTATATGTTTCGGTCGTATAACGTCGTGGCACGTTGTTTGCCTTCTTGCCGTGGAAACCTGATGCTGGCCTTGACTCTTCTCTGCGGGGAAATGGCTGCTAGGGGACGGCACTCTGGCACTGAGCAGAGGAGTCTTGAACGTTTTGTGGTGCTTTCGTCTTCTTAGTCTTAGTTTGTCGATAATCGAGAACATCTACCCGACAAGGTTTGGACGTACACTTCTGCCTGCCTGGTGATGGCAATGCTGCGGAATCGGGGATGTGACAATATCGGAGCCTGAGTGTGGGCGGCAGAGGTGGTAATTATGCCGGAGACTAGGGAAGGGAAGGGCAGAGAGACGTATTCGGCATCTTCAAACCCGAATCTACGGCTCAAGAACCAGTCCGGAGGTCCCTGCGCCGTAGGGCCGCTCTCGAAGTCATGGACAGCTGCACACTTGCCTCGTATCGGCCGGAAGGCCGAGGATTTTTCATCTTGGGGTTGGTTGGCGTCCACCAACAGCTCTTGAGCGCCCCAATGCACCGATTGCAACTCGCGAGTTTTCCGCAGTATAAGACGGAGGATCATTGTGTGGAGCTGAGGATGGGCATGATGCTCATTTCTGGCTGGCTCTCGTCCGCCACATGGAAGGATGCTAGCTGAGAAAGTCACATGCTTCGGAAAGTGGCACGCCTCATCCCAGCTTACATGGCGGCGGTGGCCTTCACAAGCCTCCCATTGTCCTTGCAGCGCGAAAGCTGGGAGTGCTTGCTGCAGTACGGCCTGGAGATCTTGACCATCGGTGGTTGGAATCCCTTCCTATCATGGTGGACCATGAACCATCCCCTTTGGTTTGTCTCTACACTGCTATCCTATCACTATGTGTCTCCTTATTTCTGAGGTGGACGCGCAGGCAAAGTGTTCGGCGGCTCGCCGTTGTGGTTGCCCTCCTGTACGCCCTCGTACAGGTCTCGCTTGCCTAGTGCTGGTGCTGCTGGCAAGATGGACCGGAGACTTAGACAGCTACGGACGCATAATCCATGTGTGGAGCCCCGTACAGATTTGGGTACCCTTCATGGGGGCTTTGCTGGAGCAGATCACTGTCCGGACTTCACTGCCGACATGGGTCCGAAAATGGCTGACTGACATCTTGATTATTTATAATGATGATTGTGTGCACGAACTTGGTGCCATCGACTGGATCGCCTGGGATCGATGCGCTCGTCGCCTACAAAGGCCTGCTCACAGGACCTCTCCAGCTTGCTCTGCTAGTACTCATCAGCTGTGATTGCAACTCTTTCAGGCTGATTCTCGGCCCCACACATGGCAGTCGCCAGCTGGCGGCATCAATGTCGAAGCTATCACTATATCTTTGAAGCGCTGGCCGTGGGCTCTTTGTATGCATCACTGCGGCGCACAGCGGGTGGGGGACCTAAATCCTCTTTGCGATCTTCCTGGATTTCGTCGTCGCGGATCCCTTCACAGTGGCATTTTGCAACTGGATCATCCCGCAGCGAGGGGCAGCCAAGGCTGGACGGAGCCCGGATGTCGAGTTAGCTCCAGCTGTAAAGCTCGGCGCGCCTTTCCGGAGGGCCTCTGAACAAAGAGCTGGAACTTTGCCCTTGACTTCCTTCCGGTCTCGGGCATTGGATTTGGGCTTTAGCGGCTGTTTCTTGCTGCTCATCTCGCAAGAGGCCACCTGTCTACCTGGCAAGCTCGGCACAGGTACAGATGCAGGTTTCTCGACAACGCGGGACTGGCACGAATCGGAGTTAGACCTTAATTTTTGGTCCCGTTGAATGCTTTTGCAAGTGCCGCAGGAAGCTCTTCCAAAAGACAGTGGGCCCTGATGTCCAGAAGCGCCGGATGAGTGCCAAGCCGAGTAGAAAAGGTTGCTTTCCTTCTGAGGGACACCAATGTCCCAGCGTTTGCCCTCCGTGGGAGACGATGTACAGGCGCCCAGTCCTCCTCAAAGGACAGTCACATCGGGCACACACTGGCGTAGGCGGCGTAGGTCCTCGCAACTCGTTGCTTAGAAACTGAACGCCTGAGTGAATGTAGACTCCGTGTCGTCGGCATGGTGAAGATTATAAAGCTCAGAATCCTGCATGCTGCTCACACCGCCTGACGCCTGACGTTGGCGTCCGATATGAGTCCACCAGTCCTCGGAAACTGAAAGACTGATGGCCCAGCCATGTATGAACCCTCGTATGCCTTCGTCTCCAATCGTTTAAAGACTTGCGTAGAAGGCTGGAGTGCAAGACCCGGTTTTTGCTGCGTCGAGAACCCCAGAATGGTAACCAAAGCCACTGCGAGCCCCACAGCCCATGCAATGTCTATTCACAGTAGTCGTGCCAGGTCTCGGACCGTGTGGATGAGTCGTGCGAATTCCTGGCACAAGGGCCTGTTGTTAGATGAATTGAAAAGTTTGCTATCTTTGGGGGAAGGTCTTCGATCGGTGGTCATTCAGAGAAACTGGCACCAGAGGTACACAGGTTCTTGCTCTGCACAGCCGGGATCGCGGCCCCCTCCTTTCATAAGGTACAGTAGGGATCCTAGAATCGAGGCATCGGCTTGAGCCTTTGAGTTTGTGGGGCTTTCAACGTGCTGCCGTATAGGGCTCATGGGTTTGATGGAGTTGTTCTAGACCGTAAACTCCCCGGCTTAGTTGAAGTTGAAGCGGGCACTGAAGCACGCAAATTTCCACACCGTCTGTCGTAGGCTCGGGGCGATAGACTTTTCTGTGGCAGTTGCGAGCGTCTCAATCTTTCCACTTTTTGAGAGTGGACGTGCTGAGGCGAAGGGATTCGCTAAGGCCCCTGTTGGCCCCAAGAGAAGTCGAAAGCTCACAACCCAAGCTCTGCTGGGTCCCAGTTCTGCAATGCAGCAGAGAGAATGGCAGAGGGCTCTTGCTTCAGCCAGGCCGAGCTGTTGGCTTTCTGCCAAGGAGGAGATGAAACCATCAGCGAGGCTTTCGGCTGTGTTGGGAAGGTTGGAGATCTGGTGTTCAAATGTGGCGGATAGGGTACCAGGAGCTCTGCACAGATGTTGCGGGTTTTGTTCTTGGTTTCGGGCCCAGATGTTCACCGAGGCTCTGGAGATCAGAACGTGTTCTGACATTATGTGCTCCGATTGCCAAGTTCAGCGGGGCTCCCAACGAAGCACTGAGGCTTTGTAGTAATGGCTCTGGATCTTGGAAGGGTCAACCCAAAAGCCGAGCCGCGAGCCGTCAAGCCTGGTGCTCGCATATATACATATACATAGATAGATAGATAGATAGATAGATAGATATGTCTGTATATATAAGATTTCGAGCAGCCTCACCTAGGAGAGCTTCTCAGGGGCTTTGACCCAAATGGTGACATGCGCCATTTCGGTATATATGCCAGGTACTGTATGATGCCAATCATTTCGCAATGCAATTTGTTCTGCTGCAGTAGGCCTAGCAGAAACCCGAATGAATCCCCCGAACGGACATCTCCCGAACCCGGATGATCTGCAAAACAGAGGAGGGAGCACATTTGGACTCATTGGAGATTCGGAATGTCTCAATCTGGAAACGCTGAATGAACTCGTCCCGGGAATCAGTTGAAGTATATTAAAGTTACCATCTAAAGAAGCTATTAATGGCCATTTGCTCGAAGTGTGGTGATTTCCAAACTAATTAAAGTGTCTGTTCTTCTGACGGTCTGATGTGGCAGTTAATCCCGCAAGCCGTTTCTCGGTGAAGTGTCATTCAGTGGCCCGGGTTTAGGAATCCAGGAATATGCCGCATAGTTCTTGGTGTTGGCGTAGTTTGCTGAATCCAAGATGCAGGACTTGTGTAATGTCTTGCTTCAAGATATGACGGATTGTCGGAAGTCAAACTGCTTCCTGTTGCAGGGCGAAATACTAGACACCAACCTGATATGTGCCGAACATTCCAGAGCCCCAAGCAAAGGAATGCTGAATATACCATTGTGACGAAGCGGCGTGAGAGCTGAAATACACCCCGAACGCAAAGGACAGCATGCGAGCAACAAGCCATGTAGCTGCAAGATCGCAATCTTTCCTGGAGCAAAGCCTCCTAGAGGGATGACGGACTCTGATACCGACGTCCGAGAATGTGCCCTCCCGACCCACTCTCTGCTTTGGGCTGCCGCCGGCGATGGATGCAGCGACTCTCGCCTAGCAGGTCCTTAACTTGGCTTTGGTTCGCGTCGTAGTGGCAGTAGTAGTCGTCGTCGTACAGCAGGAGCAGTAGCAGGAGCAGGAGCA